GAGCTACAAAGTAAGATCCTGTCTCAAAAATAAGTAAAATTATTGATAAACACTTACAGTCCCAACACTAAGTCTGGGGGAGGAAAAATGATGAGTTAAAGGCTAACCTGGGCTACATAGTGAGTTCCAAGTTGGCATGGTCTATAGTGAAACCCTGTCTCAAAAAAGCAAATGAACGAATAAATTTATAAGCAAACAAAACCTTTTAAAGGTATGGGGGCATAGCTTAATGGTAGAGACCTTGCCTAGCATGCCTGAAACACTGGAAATGATCTCAAGTACCACAAGAAAGGGATATCTTATAGAAAGGTCTTTTTGTAAATATATGGCTGGGTACTGTGGCACATGCCTGCAATCCCAGCACTCGGCAGCTAGATGTAGAAGGGTTACTGCAAGTCTGTAATCAGCCTGGTCTACATAGTGAATTCCAGACCATCCAGATTAACAGAGCAAGACCCTGTCTCAAATTAAAAAAAATGCTTGGTGTGATATATACTCCTCTAAGTTCAGAACTCAGGAGGCAGACAGGCAGCTCTCTATTACAGAGGGCAACTTGGACTACGTAGTGAGTTCTAGGTAAGTCAAGCCTACATAGTGAGATCCTATCTTAAAACAAAAACAAAAACAGACACACACACACATATACAAACACACAGAAATCAAAATACCACACCTGGAGGGGACAGGAGCTCCACAAGGAGAAAAACAGAACCAAAAAATCTGGGCACAGGAGTCTTTTCTGAGACTGATTCTCCAACCAAGGATCATGCATGGAGATAACCTAGAACCCCTGCTCAGATGTAGCCCATGGCAGCTCAGTTTCCAAGTGGGTTACCTAGAATGGGGAACAGGTATTGTCTCTGACATGATCTGATTGGTCTGCTCTTTGACCACCCCTGTGAGCGGGGAACAGCCTAGAGGAAGAGAATGCAGCCACTCCTGATGAGACCTAATAGGCTAAGGTCAGAAAGAAGGGGAGGAAGACCTCCCCTACCAGTAGACTCAGGGAGGGGCATGGGAGGAGATGAGGGAGGGAGGGTGGGATTGGGAGGGGATGAGGGAGGGAGCTTACAGCTGGGTTACAAAGTGAATAAACTGTAATTTATTTTTAAAAAAATAAAGAAAGACTAGACTCATATCAAGGCTGAATGAGGCAACCCAGTAGGAGGAAACAGGTTCCAAAAGTAGGCAAAAGAGTCAGAGACAACTCATTCCCACTGTTGGGAGTCTCACAATAAGTACCAAAGTATAAAACTGTAATATATATGTAAAGGATATAGTTCAGACTCACACAAGCTCCTGATTGTCACTTCTGTCTCCATGAGGCCCTATGAGCCTTAGTTGATTCTGTGAGTTTTATTGTGGTATCTTCAACCCCCCTGTCTCTTATAATTCTTCCTCCACCTCTTCCACTGAGTTCCCAGAGCTCCACCTATATGTTTAGCTGTGGGTCTCTGTTCTCCCCTCAGTTGCTCGATAAAATCTCTCTGATGATAATTGGGCTGGATTTTATCTTGAGTACAGCAAAATATCATTAGGAAGAATTTCACTATTTTTTTTGATAGTCCTTTGGTTCTATCCTAGGTGTTTGGGGTATCTAGTCTCTGGTTCTTGGCCATCTAGGCAGTGTTAGCCATAGGTTCCCTCTTGTGGCCTGATCCTCAAGTTGAACCAGTCATTCATTGGCCACTCCCACAAGTTCTGTGCCACAATTACCCCAGCACATTTTTCAGTCAGGACAAATTGCAGAGTTGATGTCCTAGTTACACAGCTGGAAGAACTAGAAGCCTTGCCCAACTACAGAAGATGGTCAGCTCTGTCTCCTCATCCGCCATTAGAAGGAGTCTTTGCTAGGGTCATCTTATAGATTCCAGGGAGTTTTCCTTGCATTGGGGCTTCTACATGCTCCCCAAGTGCCCCAATTTAAATAGTATTCTCCCCAACACACCTGATTCCTCCTTTCCCATCTCCACTTATCCCCAGTTCACCTTCAAAATCTATTCTATTTCTCCTTCCCAGAGAGATCCATGTGTCCACCTTTGAACCCTCCTTGTTACTTAGCCTCTCTGGGTCACAAGATTTAAAGATAATTAAGATAATTGAATATTAGGAAGCAGGGAGCTGTATGGGAGCTTGAATTTAAGCACAACTTTCATTCATGGATATGTCCTTGTGTAAAGACCCACTATGTGAATATCATAATAACAATTCAGACAGCAACTATAAATAGTAATAAACAGTACACTCTTGAAAGGCGTATTACCTGCTGCCCATTTGAATGTGTATATTCCTGTATCATGTGCAGAGAGAGTGACAGAGTGGCAGCCATATTGGCTTAGAGTAATAGAAGAAAATTTGGGACCAGAGCAGAAGTTGGAAGCTGGATTTGATTTCCTATAACCAAATAATGCAGACATTAGAAAGTCACATACTATCTTAGCTAGGGTTTTATTGCTGTGAATTGACACATAACCATGGCAAATCTTATAAAGAAAACTATATCACATTGTTGGGGCTGGTTTACAGTTCAGATGTTTAGTCCATTATCATCATGGTGGGAAGCATGGCAGGATTCAAGCAGTCACGGCGCTTGAGAGGTAGCTCAGAGTTCTACATTTTGATCTTCAAGCAGCAGGAGATTGTGTCATCCTGGCATAGCTTGAGCATATATAGGAACCTCCACAGTGACACACTTCCTCTAACAAGGCCATACCTACTCCAACAAGGCCACACTTCCTAACAGTTTCACTCCCTATGGACCAAGCATTTAAACACATGAGTCTATGAAGGCCATACCTATTCAAACCATCACACCTACTGAATATAAAAGTGTCTAAAAGGACTAGAAGTGACAGAGTACTGAATAGAGAAACAGCCCTCAGAAACAAGACAAAAAAAAAGTAGCAGTTGTAACTAATAAAACCAGAGAAACCACTCAGCTAGTAAGAGTAGGGGCAGAATACAATCTGCTGCTGGAATTTAAGAAAATTAACTATGAGAACAAAATCAACAGTCCCTATAAGAGTGTATCAGTATCCAGGGTTTCCATACTTATTACTGCTCATGGACTATGCTGTCAAAACAACAGTTACAGAGCTAATTCCAACTGTATCAATGTGTGAATTTCAGAGGAAACAATCTTACATTGGGTAGACAGGGACAGGAGAATTGAGGGCATGAGAGGTGAGGAGTTGAGTGTGATAAATATGCTCAAATTATAGTGGCATGAAATTCTGAATGATCCCAGGGAAAGAACCTGTCTCACAAACTAAGGTAAAAAATAATACCTGAGGTTGACCTCTGCCTTCCACATACATCTGTACAATTTGGCATTGAAACACACAAATAAAAATCAATTAACCAATCAATAACAACTGGGTTGTTATATAGAAAAATGAAACAAGACATGCTATTACACAGAAAATGTAATTAAAATTTGTCAGAATTCTTATGAAAATGTATAACTATGAACTTTTTTTATAACTATAAACTTAATCTACAAGGAACATCACAGATGGAAGGGGAGGAGGACCTCCCCTATCAATGGACTGGGGGAGGGGCATGGAAGGAGAAGAGGGAGGGAGGGAGAGTGGGATTTGGAGGGGATGAGGGAGGGGGCTACAGCTGGGATACAAAGTGAGTAACTTGTAATGAATAAATAAAAAAACAGAAAAAAAATCAAAATACCCTCTAAAGCAAAACCATCTTTATTTCCATTTTAATAAATGTGTTATTCCCACAACTTGCAACATTCTAGTGTCTTTGGTTATTACAAGATGTGCAAAGAGAAATCTGTACTGATTCAGTATATAAAATATGTATGCTGCTACATGTAGCACACAAAAGTTTAAGTCTTTTATTCCACACTTGATGGAATATAAGCCCAGGACTCAGGAGACAAAGGCAAGAGGATTTCTGTATTGGAGGTCAGTCTGATTTAAATAGATAGTACCAGGCCAACCAGGGCTACATAGTGACACTATGTAAAAACAAAACAAAATAATAATGTCTTTAATTTATTCATCATATACCAGAAACTATGATAGGAAATATAAAGAAAAATACTATTTCCATCCTTCAGAACCCCAGCCTATCAAAAAAAAAAAAAAAGCATATAGCAGGTATTAGAATGTGTTGATATTGAGATATTAAGACATATATTGAATTGTCAGTTAACACAGTGTGCTCTGGAAACATAAAATGACATCCTATAGCGGGAGTGGAAGGGGTGAATTCCAAAAAGAATGGGCAGAGGCAGAAAAGGGGTACTCAGAATGAGCGCTGGTATCATATATGATAGAAATATATATGAGCAGAGCAACAAGGAGAGGTAAGACTGGGAAGGTAAGCTGGAGGTAGATTGTGGAAGATTATAAACCAACTTTCCTAGGCTTGGAGCTGATCAGAAATGGAAATTCTCAGTTTCTGACCCAGATCTACTGAATCAGGAATGGTGGGAGTAGGGTCTAGCCCTGTTTTTAGCAAGCTAGACACGATTCACCAACTTTGAGAACTACTGCTGCAGGCAATATTAAGCAACTTGAAATTGACCTGATGAATTTGGAAATGGGTGGTGGTGGCCATTGCCTATCCAAGTCCAACACCTGACTCCAGGGTAGTTACAAGGAAAAAAAAAAAAACTTTTGGATGACAATGGCATGAGGACATGACATAAGCAAGAGGCTAAGGCAACTGGAATTAGATTTAAGAGATATTTCAAGTGATCATAGAGCAATCAGGTGGTGAAAGTAGAATCATACAAATGTGTCACTGTGGTGTTTTTTTGTTTGTTTACACAAAAACCAGAGTCTTGTTGAATCTGTCAACTGATAGATCCAGAAAAAGGGAAGAAAAGAGCAATTTTTATGTGTTCCTTTATAGTCAGGAGCAAAGGTTGCCTTAATTTGTACATGAGTACTCTGGTCTACTTGGTATTTCTGCCTCTCACTATCAGCCAGTAGATTGACATATTAACATGTTCATATTTTCTGTGAGTTTACCTCGTGAGAACCAATCTGCGAGACTGATGATATCAGGATGTGCTGACACAAATTCTGAACCTAAAAAGCTGGAAAGGAAGCACTGGTTCAGGTGATCAAAGTCAGGTGCTGTCAAAGTGAGACCATTAAACCCCTCCCTTTCTCCTCATTATGTCACTAAAATCGCAGAACCTGCTTAATTCTGGAAGAAGTTTGAACTGAACTGAGTGAAAGAATTAGACTTTGGGCTATATCCTGAAGGTCATGAAAGCCTAGCAGAGCTGTTATTTCTAATTTAGGAGTCATGATTTAGCTGGGTCCATCTTCAATTACCTGACAAAAAGCAAGACAGGTACAGGCCAACGTAATGACTAATTTACCTCCTCAGAATATATATATTTTTTGAGACAGAGTTTCAGTATGTAACCCATATGGTCTGGTACTCACAATGTACACTAAGCTGGCCTCAAACTCACACAGACCTATCTGCTACAAGAATCTTGCAGGAAGCCAGGCACACTGGTAATCCCAGCACTTGGGGAGGCAGAAGTAGACAGATCATTGTGAGACTGATGCCAGCCTGCTCTACAAAGTGAGTCCAGGACAGCTAAGGCTACACAGGGAAACTCCGTCTCAACCCCTCCCCCCCACACACAAAAAAAAGAACCTTGCAGAATATAATTGCTATTTCTATCATGATTCTGGGTAGATACCTCTTGTTACTTCATGGGCTTTCATTGTGACCAGTATCTTGCCTTAATTGGCCAACACATTTGTCCAAAAATAGCTCTCTGTCAAAAACTACACACTTGCCAAGCATGGTGCCTCACACCTGTACACTCAACATTTGGAAGTCTATGGCAGACTTAGAAGCTTGCCTGAGCTACATGAGTTCCAGGCTAGCTGGGGATTCATGGTAAGACTGTCTCAACACCCCCATCCTTACCCCACCCCCACAAACTGTACACTTTTAGGTAACTTAAGAGCTACAGAGGTCCATATAGATTACAACAAAAGCCTTATAATAGAGATGAAGTAATCAAGGACATTAAAGAATAAATCACTTAATATATTTATTGTAAGTTAATATATTACCAGACTGGTAAGGGGTAACTTCACTTGGAATCTTTTTTGCTTGCTTTTAGAAAAGATTAAAATGTTTTCTATCTTCTATCTTAAGCCCTCTTCGTGTGTGTGTGTGTGTGTGTGTGTGTGTTTGCTTGTTTGCTTGTTTGCTTTTGAGACAAAGTCTCTCTATTTTATAGCTCTGGCTGTCCTGGAACTCACTATGTAGACCAGGTTGGCCTTGAACTTGGGAGACTACCCAGCTATCTTAAACCCTTTTTTTTAATGTTGGAGAAGAGCAGCAATATTTTGAGATGTCTCACTATGTAGCCCTGGCTGGCCTTGGCTGGCCTGGCACTCAGAGATCTATCTGCCTGCCTCTGACACCTGAGTGCTGGGATTAAAGGCCTATGTCAGCACACCCAGCCCATAAATTTCTTTATTGGGCTTAAGTAAGGAATGGGGTGGGTTTTCTAGTTTCTTATTTTATGTTTTTAGACAGTGAAATTAAATGTAAATCCTGTATGAGAAAAAAAAATAAATATAAAATATCTGGGAAGAATAAAAATGAACAATTTAAGGAAAGCAGGTGAAGTACTAGTTTCTGTCTTTGCCTACACTGAAATGCTGCCCATTACACTTGATTATATACTATACTAAAAGGGAGACTATCACAACCAGCTCTCACAGATTTGAACATTCCTAAATTTTCCTGGTATGTCAGGAAACTTCTGTTGCTTTGCAAAGTCTACATATCCCTCAGAAGCCAGTTTAACCTTACATCCTGTTTGAATGTGTAGACTGAACAATTTAAGACTCATTTGAGACAGACATGGCGGCTCACACCTTTAATCCCCGCACTCAGGGAGGCAGAAGTAGGCTGTGAGTTCAAGGCCAGCCTGGTCTACAAACTGGGACACTCAGAAGGGAGAGGCAGGCAGGTTTCCGCGAGTTTGAGGACAGCCTGAGCTACAGAGTGAGTTCCAGGACAGTCAGAACTACACAGAAAACGTCTGTCTCGAAAAACGAACGAAAAAAAAAAAAAAAGAAGAAGAAGACGACGACACATTTGGCCGTTTCTTGTTCTCCAAACTTACAGCCAATCTACAATGAATATATGTGTAATCAAAAAGCTGGGGGTCTACCCTTACTCAATTTCCTAAATGTTGTATTTTATACACAAAGAGATTTTCCAATACTTTCAGGATTTTCATCATTAAGAATGTATTAAATCTAATGTGTAGACTTTTACCAAAAGGGTAGACTTTCTCCTTCTGTCTGGAAATCACATTAAGAACAAAACGTGCTCCAAAAAGAAAAGAACTGCCTTTTAGGTAAAATTCAGGAACTTGTAATTTTCAGATTTATTTTGCTTAGCATTTCCTGAAAATACAACACACTAGTGCCCTTTTCACTTCATAGTTGCCCTTTGGCTCTCTCAAGCGAAATTTCCTTTAATTCTACTGGGACAGCAATGCTGCTTCAATGAGAGAAAGACAAATGTCAGTTTCTTCGAAGGGGAACTGCAGAACATTAAGGGCTGAGGACTGGGGGGGGGGGGGGCCCCAAACCTTCCTAAGACATCAGCCCCAACGGCTAGAGGCCCAGCCTTTACAGCTCTATCGCCACACTGCCCCGTTCCATGTGAAACTGGTCATGTGAGCCTGTTTACAGCTGAGCAGCTGGTGCAACCATCAGGATCAGTGCAGAGGTCCGGGGAGGAGTAATGATACAGGCCATGTATCTCCTTTCTCCCCCTATATAATTCCAAGAAGATTTTGTTTCTACCACCACCCTCCTAGTTTCCCCACCTCCCTTCATGTCCCTTTAGGCAAAGCCATCCTGGGACGCCTGGTTCCAGCCACCTACCCTCCCCGCCCCATTTCCTTCCAGTTACTCTCTGGTGTGGGGGGGGGACCGGCTGAACTGCAGGAAGGGCGAGGACAGTGTCACCCCGAACAGGGTAGTCGACTGACTTCTCTCCCACAGCCCTCCAGGCAGTGTCCGCCAAAGAGTTGTCCCTGGAGCCGCATCCCCAGGGCAACTGAACTCCGCCAAGCAAGCAGCGGTGGCTTTGGAGGATACCTTGGCCCAGGCAGGGGCAGCTACATACGTCTGCTGGCCCGACATTGTGGAAGGGCCACCAGCAGTCAGAGAACGGTGGACCGGCCGCCTGGTCCCGGCCAGCCACTGCAGCCCGGCACCGCGCAGCCCTGCTGTCAGCCACAGAGCCAAGCTCCGGCTGTGGGTGCTAGGCATTGTCTACACTGGGGTGAGGGTGGGGGTGGGGAGCTGGCCATGTAAGTCCCACGTATGCTCCCACAAGTCAGAGGAACTGGGTGACGGAACATTGGGGGACTCTCACCTCAGCAATATAGGCTTCTCGGAAAGCAGCTGCGACTGCTCCTGGCTCCTTTGTCAGAGTCTCCAGACTGCACTGCCTGCTGGGATACGGGAGGACTAGACTGCCACCTCTCCCCCGCCCAGGAGGAGGAGTCACAACTGGGAGGCGGGGATGGGGGGGACGGTTCAGAAGAAGAAGGGAAGGCAGCTTCACGGGTGAGGTCTAATTGGGGGCGGGGTTTCTGTGTTGCCACCTGGCTTCTAGAGTTTCTTCCTTCTCAAGTGCTTCAAACTACTTCCTTCTTTGTCCTGTGGCCACCCCTCCTCTTTCTCTCCTCTCCACCCCCTGAGAGCTTTAGAGGCTTTCTCAGACTGCAATCTCTTTGCACTCTCTTGGTGGTGAACCTTGACATCTGCTTCATTCACTCCTCTTCCCAACCCAGCATGCCCTCAATGACTACCCAAGGCTAGTGATTCTTACTCTGAGACCTATCTTAATGGCTATCCTTCTTTCTCCACTCTATCATCAGCACAGCGGACTCTCTGAGGACTTTTTCATGCTGCTACAGTAGCTTTCTGATTGGATTCCTTCCTTCCACTGTTACTTTGTTACATTTCCCAGATGGACCAGTCTAAGGTGTATAGGTTGACCCTGTTAGTCTACTCAAAGCCTTTCAAGCCTGCCATGGTGGAACAAGACTATATAATCCCAGCATTCAAAGGCTTAGAATCCCGAGTTAAGAACAACCTGGGTTACATACTGACAATTGGCTTTTAAAAGTGGAAATTCTACATTCTCAGTAATTTCTGTAATCTCTTAGAGGTTTCCAGACAGCTATGCTGCGGCCAGGCTTTAATCTCAGCACTTGGGAGGCAGAAGCAGTGGATCTCTGAGAATGAGGCCTGCCTAGTCTACATAGGAAGTTCCAGACAAGCCAGGGGTACCTGCGAGACCTATCAACCAACAAATGAGAGATAAAAAGACTTTTCAGCTAGGCGTGGTGGAACACAATTGTAATCCTAGCATTCAAGGGCAAAGTCAGGAATATCCCAAGGATTGCATTCCAAACCAGCCTAGTCTTCCTAGCAGGATCCTGTGTGCCGGCTAGTTTGATGTCAACTTGACACAAGCTAAAATCATCCTAGAGGAGGGAACCTCAATTGAGAAAAGGCCTTCAGAAGTTCGGGCTGCATCAGGACTGAGTACATGCCACTTGATGTGCCTGGGTGGGCTGTGTGTGTGGGGTCCTCTTTTCTGAGAAGTTGGGGAGGTTGGACAGAAGGAAGAGAAAGGGAGGACAGGACCAGGAGGAAATGAGGGAGAGACTACAATTGAGATGTAATAAATAATAAACATAATAAAATATATTATAAAAATATTTATATAATATATAAATTAATAAAAATATAAGTATATAACTATATAAATGTATAAATAAATAAACAATAAAAATAAGTCAGAGAAACAAAATTTGGGCTGCAGCCAAGCCTTTGGGTCACTTTCCTAATTACTGATTGACATAAGAGGGCCCAACTCATTATGGGTGGGACCATCCTTGGCCTGGTGGTCCTGGGTTCTATGAGAAAGTAGGCTGAGCAAGTCATGAGGAACATGCCAATTAGCAGCACTCCTCCATGTCCTATAAATCAGCTCCTGCCCTATCGAGTTCCTGTTCCCACTTCCATGGATGCTGAACAATACTGTGGAAGTGTAAGCCAAATAAACCCTTTCCTCTCCAAGTTTCTTTGGTTATGGGTGCTTCATCACAGCAATAGAAACCTTACCTAGGACACCCTGTGTTAAAAAAAAAAATCACCAGGCTGGTGGTACACACCTTTAATTTCAGCACTTGGGAGGCAGAGGCAGGTGTAAAGGCCAGTGTGACCAAATCTCAAGACAGCCAGGACTACATAGAAAGACCCTGTCTCAGAAAAAAAAAGTAAGAAAGAAAGAAAGAAAGAAAGAAAGAAAGAAAGAAAGAAAGAAAGAAAGAAAGAAAGAAAGAAAAGAGACTTAGTTCAAACTTAATTATATTAAAAAATGGAGAATAAAATGCAATGGTCACAGGTCCCCTCTCCTCAAACATAAGACCCAAAGACTTCTTCCTGGTTGCCCTACCTAAACAATGGGTATGTAATGGTAGATATGACCTAGGCCCTAGGCTCTGATACCTTTACTCACAGACTTTGTGTAATGCTCTTATCTGTCTTTTGAATACCTATCTTTCAGGATCCAGGGGAAATGTCACTTTCCCAACTAACCTTTTAGAATCTCCCATAAGAACCTTATGACTTCTTTGTTTGTCTGAAACATGGCCTGATTATGTAGCCCTGGCTGGCCTGACACTGGCTATGTAAACCAAGGTGGTTCTAACTTGCAGTGATCCTCCTGTCTCTGCCATGCTGAGATTATAGGCATGTACCGCTTAGTCCAGCAGACTCTTGCATAAGAACCACTGACTCCTACTGTGTCACCAAAGAACACTGCTAATTCTGTTTTGTATTTCTTCTTGACATAGGTAAACCCGTGGTCATATCTATATATTCCTTTTTCCTTTGCCTAGGCTAGAATACTTCAGAACAGGCCACAGTTGTCAGCACAATGCCCCTTCTACAACAGATATGTATACAATTTAATTAAATGTGATACTTTAGCTCCATTGCATCAGAAATCCTAAATAGACCCATAAAGGACTGCAAACAAGGCTTCATATGACAGTCACCCTTTCTTCACTAAGACATCTCCCCATCTTGACCTGACCAAATGTTGCTTTTGCAAACACAAACTGGTTAGGCAGCAGAACATTGCAAAAGGATCAAAGCTTGTACTCCTCTTGCAGGTCAGACTGGTTTGTGGTACAATATGTGGTTGTGGAAGACATAACAACTCACATGAGAATCTAGTGGAGAAAAATATATGGCACCACAGAAAATAATTGAGTTTCCAAATAGTTATATTAGATTTGGGATGCTTTTAAATTCCTGTTGGTTCAAGCTATCCTTGGGCTCCATATCACTTCTAACCTTACCCCCATTGTCTGTGGCATAAAGTCTTTTGCAAACGTGGGCATTAAACTAAGAAGGATTCTTTCCAGAGTCAATGGGGAGATTGCTGAGGGGAAGCTGGGATATGGTGACAATTCAGCAACCACCCATATAACAAAGGAAAAGGCTTAGATTTGGAAACCTTAGGAGTTAAGTAATCTCTCTAAGTGTAGCAGATTAGTGAAGATATTAGATAGGATACAACACCTTAATTTAGGAAGATATTCCTATGGGTCTGGGGGCTGCAACATGTTTAATTTTTCAGAGAATATACTAGATAGGATGTGAGGCATGCATGACTGATCCCTTCTACAGGGGCAGCCTCAGTGCTCTGATAATGAGTTCCTTACTCTGTGTTGTTCTTCCATCCTTTCAGGTGTGCTTGCTTTCTGATTGTATTATAGACTATATTATGACAGATGTTGAGAAAATTTCTTCTCTGAAGAGATGTAAACAAAGTCTATCTCCTCCTTATAAAGCCCCAATAACCAACCAAAGTATGACTCCACTGAAGTTCAACCTAGAGAATCAAGAAATATGGGTGTTGCTGGGTGTGATGGCGCATGTCTGTAATCCCTGCACTCCAAGGGAGGCAGAGGTAGGAGGATCACTGTGAGTTCAAGGTCAGCCTGGTCTACATATTGAGTCCTGGACAGCCAAGGCTACACAGAAAACCCCTGTCTTGAAAACAACAATAACAAAGAGGAAGTATGGGGCTTACTTATAGAGCATGAGTGAGGGGTTGCCTATAAGTGTATGGGTGACCCCAAGGCACCCACTGTGGAAAGTTTCTACACAGCACCCAAAATGGCTTCTTCTTAGCTGCATAAGGGAACATCCCTCAGTTCACTTTCACCAGCCTGTGGATTCTAGTGCCTCTAGAGACCAGTGAGGCCAAGGGTAATTTAGGCAGAATTGTAGTCAGACAAATGACTCGGCAGAATGGCTAGGAATTCAGGTAAGTGTCCAGTGACACACTCAGCTCATTTTTTTTTTCTTTTGACTGAATGTCGACAGTCTACACACATGATTGTGATGGTTTCTTGCAAGAGATTCAATTGATCTGAGGAAGATAGCAGCTGTTTTGCTCTGAAGACCATGTTCTACCGAAACATTTCCTTATTGCCAAATTAGGGACACATATAGCCACATGGTCTACATGATTTACAGGCTCTTATAAGGTTCTAATATAGTACCATGTATGCTGTGTAGGATTTCATAAACTTTATTATGCTTTTCAAACATAAGGTCTGTTTTGTTATTTAAATTCTTTTTAAAATTCTTTAATTTAACTATTTTAAAAAGATACATCTATATGAATATACATGTATACATATATGGGAGGTTGTGCACTGTATGCATGCTGCAAAGGCTGGAAGAGGGTGTCAAATCCCCTGGAACTAGAGTTACAGGTGGTTGTGAGACACCATTTGAGTGTTGGAGACCTAACCCAGGTCTTCTGCAAGAGTATCAAGTGCTCCCAAACACTGAGCCATCTCCTCAGCTCTGTTATTAAAATTCTTAATGTTTTACAACTTAGCCACTTGTTCTTAAGACTCAAAGTGCCTTATTGCAAATTCGTGGAGATAATACATTTATTTATATGTGTGTGGTTCTTTTTTTTTTTTTTTTAAGCAAGCATTCCAAGGAAAATATTTTGTCATGGTATTTTTCTACATAGGTATCATTCTTGTCCTAACTCACCCCCCTCCCTTTCCATATGCTCCCTAATCCTGCGGCTGGCTCCCGTTGCTTTGATAGGCAGGCTCTCATACTGCTTTCATGTCAAGTATTTCATGTACTGCTTCCCCACTTCTTATGAGATTTATTTCTACCCTCTCATGATCCACTTTGAAATCTCATAACACATGCCTGAGCTTCTTTGTCTTCTCCCTTCATACACACACACACAAACATAGTCAGGTGCACACACACACACACACTCATGAACACACACGCTTTTAAATCTAGGATAAGCAGATGAGAGGAAACATATAGTATTTATCTTTCTAAATTTGGCTTATTGCTCCTAATGTAATGATCTCCAATTGCATCTATTT